GGCTAGAGTGGCTCTGGTGTGCTCTCGTGCTGTCTGGCTAGAGTGGCTCTGGTGTGCTCTCGTGCTGTCTGGCTAGAAGCACAGCATCCCTCTCTCGCTGGACTTAGCAGATGGTCTGTGTGTTGTGAGCTGGTGATGTCACTGGAGTCCCAGTTGTGGCTGAGGGGATGAAAGGAAAAGCACCATCCCATGTAAAAAGGAACACATTTAAGGAGGAATGAGGTCGTGTTTGTTCAGACTTGCAGGAGCCAGTCATGTTCTTCACTAAGGCAAACTTGAGAACACCATGTCTTACAGGACTGTGGTTTCTTACACTGAGGAGACACATTACAGATTTGGGAATAACATCTCCTGGAGACAGTGTTCATAGGTGACGTTCTGTCACTTCAGATTTTCATAAATAACCCAGAACTTTAAATGAAGTCATTTACATCAGATGTCATACAACTTGTAGACAAGACAATGAAAAGCAGACGAGAGGAGAGAAAAACCATAAAGCCACAGGGAGGTGAGCGAGGCTGTGAACAGACAGCATGACAGGAGAGGTCCCGCACAGTGGAGGGCTGGGCTGTAGCTCAGGAGAGTATTTGAGCGGCTCGTGTGAGAGCCTGTGCTCACCCCACGATCACAAACACTAGCAGAAAAATAAAGATTGTGTGTATCCAAACAAGAACTACTGCTACTACTGAGTACTGTCACACTCAGGAAAGAATCCAGACCCTTGCTGAGGGAGTAGGGAGCAGTGTGACGCTGTGGCCTAGCACCACAGGTAACTTCATCCAGCCACTGGGCACTTCTGTTGCATTTATTGATCTAGGAGATGGAGAAGAGAAGGGTGGTTCAGAGAACAGAGAGTGATCGAGATGAAGCCATTGTCCTGCAGAGATGAGTGCCGAGGGGAGCAGGGGACCACACAGTCAAAAGTGGGGACTCAATCTTGAGACACTAGTTCTGGGGCCCTGTCACTGCCTCAGGAAAAAAGAAAGCACTTTTAGCCAAGTCAGAAACTTGAAGGGCTTGTGGGAGAAGTGGTGCTTGTGTTTCTGACATTTTTGGAAGAGAAGGGAGAGGCAGTAACTAGAAAACAAGTTTGCAGCCTCAAGAGCACTTGAATTGCTTTAAAATCACATCCCTTCCTCTGCTGCTCACTGCATCCCCCACCCCCAGGAAAAGATTTCTGACAAATACTTGGTGTACTTCACCCTTACCCTTGAGCTTGCAGGATAATTAATGCCTTAATGACCAGATAGTCAGGTTTTTGAGCTGAGGGAGTCTGGGGTTCTTGTCCATATGCAAAGAGAGATGTAGAGTTTTGGCTTCCTTTATGCTTTGGCCTTTTGTGTCTTGAAACCATCCCTCAGGAAACATGGTAAGATGATTCTTCCATGGCATTCCGATGTCTTGTGAGTCCATTCCTTTAGTCACGGGGGATGCACAGGAGAAGCTTGGTCATAATGAAGACTGGCTGTGTGGATCTCCAGGGTAAGGGGAGCAGAAAACACGGAGCAGGACAGCGTATTAGGCGTTTAGCTGTGAAGTTGCGGTGTGCAATACGAAATAATACCTCAAGAAGACTTCAGGAGGGCCCGCAACACTATCCCTCAGAGCGTCCACTGCACATAGCCCTCAGCTGTAAAACCATAGCTGCGGCATCTGTGATTGTCTAAATCTCCTGTTTACATGCATGTGCTGGGAATATGCATTGGTGTGTGTAGACAGAGTTGAGTCTGCTAACTGGGCTGCAGAGATGGCTGTTGATCTCTGTCTAACTCCTTTTCAGTTTACTGGAATGATTTAACTGAGTCTGATGGAGCCAACATGGCTTCTCTCTCCCCGAGAGCTGTTTTCAGTTTTGTTTCCTGCCCTCACTGTGCCGGGGACTGTACTCTTTATGCGCTCTGTGCTGAGAGAATGGGGTCTGTGAGAGGGTCGATACCACATCTCACAGACCCTGGAACCAAATATGTGAGGTGTCTTCATGCTTTTCCTTAGGGGCTCCAGATTCCGCATTGCTAAGGAGGTGCGAGGTCTCCTGGGTGGGGACTCCATTCCAGGCTCCCTTCTTTCCTCTTGATGCCTAAATTACCACCCAAGCTAGCAGAGCAGCATCTGGTTCCAACAGCCAGGACTAGATGTAGTTATGAACTCTCAGAGATGGGCACTGCACAGTTGTCTGGGTGACCAGGGCCCCGCAGGTGCCACCACATCCTCCAGTCCGCTTCTCCAGGGTAGCTATGGAGAGTGGCTGTTGACGAAGAAGCATTTTGCCCCCATGGCACAGGGAAATACTTGGTAACTTTTAATAGTGAGGCTTTGCTAAGTGGCCAGGCTTGAGGGCTAGGCTTCCCGTTCTGCTGTTGTGTTCTTACCTTGTATCCTTTATCAACGTAGACATAGCTCCTGTGTTAAGAATTTCCTATTGCAGTTGTGAGGAAATTTTTTCTGTCAGTTTACTACTTTCTGGTGAAGAGTTAACCTGAGTCTTACACGCTTTGTATGGAGTGCCCCACTGACGTGTCCTCTGCACTGGCTGAGCCAGTGAGTTCCAGTGTAAGCTCTTAAGTTAGATCAGTCCAATTACGTGAGTCTGAGCTGTTTCCCTAACTCAGGGTGCTAAAAACAAAAGACTTGCTCAGGAAAGCTTCAGAAGAGAACAGCTTCCAACCCTGCTTCCTGTGACACTCAGCAGCACACGGGAAGCGGGCCAGTGGATTGCCAACTCCATCGGGTAGCCTTACTACTGCTAATCACTGTCAGTAACGTCCTTTCATTCTCTGAGGAGAGCAATGAGAACTGATGCGGTGAACCGAACCTCCGTCAGGATTGGGAACGTTTACTGTTGCAATAGCTAATCAAACTCGAGTGTACTGGTTCTGTGAACCACCTGAAAAGCAAATTAAATGATACTGTTAAACAGTATTGGTCCTCGTGTCTGTTTATACAAGCTGAAGCAGATGAGCTTGTACATGTTTTTAGGATAGGTTCCTTTTGCTGTGTACTAAGCTGACCTCGAACTCATGATTCTTCTGGTCAGATATCGGATTTCCATGGCTCCAACAGTGCTTGCCCAGTATGCATGGAAACCCTCGGAGCGATTGATCCTTAGCCCTGTATAAACCAATCCAACATGGTGGCACGCAGCCATAATCCTAGCACCGGGGAGGTAAAGGCAAGAAGATCTCAAGTTCAAGTTGTCTTCTTGGTTACATAAATACACTTTTAGTTTCTTATTTTTGTCTATGTGTGTAAATATATGTTGTGTGTGTCTATACCTGTTGTGAAGGCCAGAAAAAAAGGTATTGCATCTCTAAAGCTGGAGTTACAGGAAGTTGACAGTGGCCTGATGCAGGTGCTGTGAATTGAACTTTGGTCCTCTACTGTTGACTGCTGAGCATTCTCTCCAGGTCCAAGTTTAAGGTTCTTGTGGCTATGGGAAAAGAGGGCAGGTGTGATGGCCACCGAGTAACTCAAGAGCCCCAGGCAGGCTCTTGAGTTCAAGGCCAGCCTGGTTAACATAGTGAGTTCTAGACCAGCCAAGGCTATATAATGAGACCGTGTCTCAAAAGCAGATTTTTGTTTTCTACATGTAAAGTAGACCAGGCATAGTGGTACTCTGAGGTTGAGGCCAGCCTGGTCTACATAATGAGTTCTAGGACAGCCAGGGCTACATAGTGAGACCCTGAGTCAAGAAAGGAAAAAAGGAAGGTGAAAACAAACAAACAAAACAAACAAACAAACCAAAAAGCAAAACCAAGCTGGGTGGTGGTGGCGCTCACCTTTCATCCCAGCACTTGGGGAGGCAGAGGCAGGCAGATCTCTGAGTTCGAGGCCAGCCAAGGCTACACAGAGAAACTCCGTCTTGAAAAACAAGAAAAAAAAGCCAAGTTTTATTTCAGCATAGGAAGAACAATGAGTTTTGTCTGCAACAAAATAAAATAAACTTTCCCATACAGGCTGGAAAAGTCTAATGATCTCTCACAAAATACACAGGAGAACCTGAAATGTTAATGGTGAGAAGCATGTCACGGTGTAGCTGTCTTCACGGCAGATGATTGCAGGTTTACGTTTTGAAAACCAGAGCAAGAAACCTGAATCTTAGCAACTTGGGCTTCAGTGTGAAGCCACGAGAGTCGTCTTGTTTTTCTCTGAAACCATCTCCCTCTCCAGAAGATACTAAAGGCCCCTGTAGATTTATCTTCAAACTAGCCAAGACTCAGTGAAATTCTTCAACATGTCCGAGGACAGTCCAGGACTGAGTTGAAGGCAAGTCTGAGTCACACTGCATGCCTTGTAGGTGTGACAGAAACATTAAAATCAGCATCATGTGTCCTGGGAGTACCACCAACAAAGCCGCAGTACAGAAGCCAACTATGAAAAGTCTGAACAGTCTCCGTTAGATTTAGAAGAAGGTGATTTTCTTGTGCTTTGAGTTGGGGATTTGCCCCTTGGACTTCAACCTCCGGACGGCCTCCCTCATGTGCTTGGGCTGCAGGGGTGGCATTTCTCCCCATTTCTCACACACGTCCAGGGCTGGTGTGGGGAAAGGAACAGTATCATCACAAGATTTACTAATCACGACTCAAGTTTTAATTCTGTCTTTTGTGAAATTTGCTAAAACAAGCCCAAGTGTTTTTCCTTAAGAGAAGGCTATAAGCTGGGCACTGTGGTGTTGATGCCTTTAATCTTAGTGCTTGCAAGGCAGAGAGAGGTGGATCTCTTTTGAGTTTGAGGCCAGCCTGGTCTACACAGAGAAATCCTGACTCAAAAAGCACCAGCCCTCCCCCCACCTACCTCCCCAAAAAGAAAAAAAGCACCTTATGAAGTATCTCTCACTGGCTTTTGCTGTGTCCCACAGGGACTAACTATGCCACAAGCTAGATATTAGCAAAGAGCTGCAGCAAGCTTTCTCCCTAACAAGGGGAAGCTCTCAGGGCACTGCTATCAAGGCACTGCTTGTGAAGGAAGGTCTGCTGATGGAAACTACACAACTGTCTTCGTCACCCTGGGCTAAGGAGAGGGATTTCCTAGATGGTCTCATCCCTCCCTCCCACGCTCTCCTCACGACGAGGCTCCCTATAGGGCCAACCTGTAGAGCAGCTGGAAACTCCCACAGACCCTTACATGCCTCAGTGGAGGCTTTGGAAATCAGATCCCCATGAGAGCAGGACAGGCTGTGACCAGCTACTCACCTTCTTCTACCACCTCCCCGACAAAAACTTTAGAAATGCCAGACATGGCAATGACAACGTTCTGAGACACAGAGGTGCCAGTGATGGACTGGATCAGCTGGGGATAAAGAAAGCTGCTGTTAGTGTGATCAACAGCGGCTGGAGATGTAGTGCCAGTAAGTGACGGCCGATAGCCAGATCACCTGGGGCCACAGTGATGGCTCAGGGCTAAGAGGGCCCTTCGAGAGGACCAGAGTTCAGTCCCCAGCCACCCATATTGGGTGGCTCACAACACCTCTAACTAGTCCAGGGGATCTGATGGCCTCTTTGGCTTTCACATGGTATTTACTCACAGACACAGCAATAAAACAGAGCAAAACAATCCCAAACCTGCGAAAAGCTAACAGTGCTGACTTGCTAGAGTTGGCCAGACGATGAGAGGTGATTCTTTCTCCCTCCTAAACAATCTCATGCTCACCTCACTTGCGAATGCTGACAGCTGTGGAGCCTAGCTTCTTCCTAACTCAACAGGAAGACAAGCACATCCTTACCCTCTTAATGGCTGCCTTAGGGAAAGCCGATCTGCGATACATTTCATAACGGTTCAGCTGCTCCTCAGAAAAAGAAGAGACCAAGATTCTAGACAAAAACATGAGTAATTAAGATTGTTAATGAGAATGAATGAAGTCCTAAGTCAATAAACACAAGCCACAGACAAACACTGTTTCAAGGGGTCCCTGGCTTTGGATTTGGTGCTCTTGAGGAATGGCAACATTTCCACTCCTAAGGAACTATGCAAAGAAAAAAGAAACACAATTTCCTTTCATTAAACACAAAAGCAGCTGGGTATGGTGGTGCACGCCTGCTCAGGAGGTGGGGTCCTCCTTGTGAGGAGAAAACACACTATCCTATGCTGACTGCATTTCACACGGACAGTAAACACCTATTACAGAATCACACAGACAGTAAACATCTATTACAGAAATGTACGTTCACATCAGGGTTCTTCAGTATTAAGTTCAGAGAGAAATCAAGGATAACCTTATACTTCTGATCCTCCTGGCTCTACCTTCCAGAGAGCGCAACCCCAGATGTGCCAGCACATCTGGTTCCTGAATGCTTTGCAGGCAGTCTACAAACTGAGCTCTAGCCTCAGCCATGATACTTTTACTTTGAATTATTGAGTCTATTTACTATGCCTGTGTGGTGGGTGTTCATGTAGAGGGGCCACCCATGAGGAAAGACAACTTGAAGAAGTCAGCTCTCTCCTTCCATCACGTGGGTCCTGGGGACTGAACTCAGGTTGTCAAGCTTGAGCAAGTGCTCTTATTGCTGGGCCACATGCTAGCTCTGTGTTTCTTTAATATATAAATAAATAAAACATATCTATGTCAGTCTGTTTGGTTTTGTCTGTACATTTGTGTAGGTGTTCATGGAAACCAGAGGGAGTGTCAGATACATAGGCATTTGTAAGCAGCTTGATATTAGTCCTGGGTCTTACTGGTCCTCTGTTAGCGCAGATAGCTCTTAGTCTCTGAGCAGTCTCTCTAGTACCCTTTAATTTTTTTAGTTAATTCTTTTAAATAAATAAAAAGATGGCTGAGCCAGTTTTAGAAGATGTACCATCACTTAATAGGAAATTCACTAAAATATCAATGTCTAATCAAGATGGAGAAAAAAAAAAACAATCCAAAACCATAAGTATTACCCAGGAACTTGAAATGATCAATTAATTAAAACAAGATTACAGTTTTCATAAATCTAGAAATATGTTGAGAAGCCGTTAAAAACATGTATAGCAGTGTTTATACAGGTAGTTTATCATAGAAAGAAACAGATACGACGTAGAGATGTTCCCAAAGGGGGAACACGATGTTATTAGAAGAAACAAAATTTAAAAACTCCTAGCCAGGCCAGGCAGTGGTGGCGCACACCTTTAACCCCAGTACTTGGGAGGCAGAGGCAGGCGGATTTCTGAGTTCCAGGCCAGCCTGGTCTACAGAGTGAGTTCCAGGACAGCCAGGACTATACAGAGAAACCATGTCTGGAGAAACTTAAACAAACAAACAACAACAACGAAAATCCTAGCCAGGATAAGTGCAGGCATCACATACAGGTGAGATGCAGTGCAGCCCGGAGACACTACACTGCTATTCATGAGGACCCTGTTTGCACAAACAGTCCCAGGTATACATTCTTGGGACAAGCTCTAAAGCTGGATTTGGACCTTTTTCTTCTTTTCTTGTATTCTGAGTTATTTTCAATAAGCTTGTATTTACTGAAAAGGAAAAACACTGACCAAATGTTGTATAAAAACATTTTGAAAAACCAACTATTTAATGTCCTTACGTGTATGTATGTGTGTGTGCACTTTGTATGTCCTTATGCGTATGTATGTATGTATGTATGCATTTTGTATGTCCTTACGTGTATGTATGTATGCATTTTGTGTTTATCAGGAGCCTGCCTGTTTGGAGGTCAGAGGACAGTTTCTAGAACTCATCTTCCTACACATGGTTTCCCAGGATCAAACTCGGGTCATTAGGTTTGGTGGCAAGCAGCTTTACCTGGCATCTTGCTGGCCTGAAATTATACCCAGGCATAGTGGATCATGCCTATAATCTCAGCACCAAGCAGGCTGAGGCAGGAGGATCAGGAGTTCGAGACTAGCTTAAGCCTCATGAGCCCTTACCTCAAAAGCAAACAAAAAACCGAGTAACAGTGAATATACAGAGTGGAGTTAGGGTCTGAACGGGACGGTTATGACTCACTGCATCTTCTGAATCTCATCTTCGTCCACCTTCTGCTTCTTCTCCTTCTTGTCCTTGGTATCTAGTTTCAGCTTTTTGGCTGCAGGAGTAAGTAATGATGAGTCTTCCCGCTCGACTGCTGTTAAATCTGAGACTTCCTGACTCTTGAGCTGGAAAGATGGACAGAAACTCTCATTATGTACTCAGTATACTTCTCAGGCTTGGGCAAGGTCAGCAAATCCTCTAATCTTTCCATCTAGCAACTCCGTCTATGCAGTAGCTGTCTGGTTCTAGACACTGCCTATACCATCTGCATAAGAGGCAGGCTAACTCCCAAAGGAAGATTATAGTCCAGCTGGGAAAGAAAATGAATAATCCAGTCTCCCAGCTTAGCCACGATCACACAGATCACACAGATCTGTATCTGTCCATCACATTACGGGGAAAATGCCAAGGATCCAAACAGCCACTCTCCCTCGGTCCCACCCTTCCGGCCTCACTCCATAGATGTCAGTATGGTCTCCTCCGTGTGTGTCTTCGGAGCAACACCCTGTACAGTGTTCTTCTGACCCTTTCTCTACTGGGTCATAAGATCCTTCCCGTTACTAGACTAGAAACTTTTTTTTTTTTTTTTTATTTGAGACAGTCTCTCCATAGAGCCCTGGGTGTCCTGGAACTCTCTCTGTAGAGCAGGCTGCCTTGCACTCAGAGATCCATCTACCTCTGCCTCCAGATTGCTTGGATTAAAGCCGTGTGCCACCATGCCCAGTTTGGAAACTTTTTTTTCTTTTTGTTTTTCGAGAGAGGGTCTTTCTGTATAGTCCTGGCTGTCCTGGAACTCACTCTGTGTAGACCAGGATAGCCTCAAACTCAGAAACCCACCTGCCTCTGCCTCCTGAGTGCGGGTGTGTGCCACCACTGCCTGGCTTTTTTCTTTTGTAACATAAGACAAAGTTTCATTTTGTAGCCTGCGCTGGTGACCCAACACTCCCTGATCTCCAGCTTGTGGAAATTGTCTTGCTTCAAGCCTCCTTGCTGGGATTAGACTTGTATCACTATGTTGAGTTTAAACTAAAAACTGCAGATAGCTCAGACGTTAAGAGCATTGGCTGTTCTTACAGAGTATCTAGGTTCGATTACCAACACCCATATGTCAGCAACTCTAGTTTCAGAAGATCTAATGCCCTCTTCTGATTTCCACAGGAAACGTGCCAGGCACATACATGGCAAACAAATATACACAGGCTAAACATTCATATAATAAAAATATACTTTTAAAAACCCACAAAATCTCAATTATTATACACATTCATGCATACTGTGTGTGGGTTTGCAAGTGGACAACTTTGTGGAGATGGTTCTCTTCCACCTTAACGTGGAGTGTGGGGATCAAACGCCTGTTCCCAGGCTTTCATGGCAAGTCCCTTTACCTGCTGAGCCATTTTGCCTGCCCTAGGCTAAAAACTTCTTGGAGTTGTTGATTATTTGTCTTCATGTAAGAACTTAACAGTTTTACTCACATGTAATCCAAACTTTGTCCTGACTAACTTACGACAAAATCTTAATACATCAAGACTCATTCATGAGATTTAATGGTTCCTCTAAAATGAAACTTATGTCGGGCAGTTGTGGGACATGGCTTTGATACTAACACTTGGAAGTCAGAGGCAAGGTGATCTCTGATTTCCAGGCCAGTCTAGTCTACACAGTGAATTCCAGGACAGCCAGGGCTACCCTGTCTTGAAAAACAAAAAAGAAAAAAGAAATTCATATTTAAACTCATACAGAAATTTGGAGAGGAAGAGAGAAGACATTATATATCTGACAACCCTTTCAACTTATTTTCTGCTTCTGATCTATACATGTTTCTCTGACCTTCGTGCTTCAGATTTTCAAATTTATTCGTCCTTAACTTTTTTTCTCCCTTTTACAAAGAGTCCTGGTGAATTCTAGTTCTCCAGGCTTTGGAAGACAGCAAGCAGTCAGAAGCGTAGCCCTATCCACAAACTTCTACCTACCTCGCCTTCCTCTGCCGCGGCTTCTTTCAAGCCCGCATCTCCATCCCTGTCGGTTTCCTCCGGGATTCTCTCCGTGTCGGCAGCCACTGGGGCCCCAGGCGTAGCCCTCGTCTCCTCCGACTCCCCTGGATCCCCGCCTTTGTCCGTGGGCGACTCCCCAAGGTTGTCCATCGCGATAGAAGAGGATCAGAGGCGATAGCAGCCCCGCCGGGAGAAGGAGCTGGTGTCGGCGAGCTGAGCCGCGGAGCTTGTGCTTACGGTTTGTCGTCGCGCCGCGATGACGTCACGCCCACGGCTCCTGGGAGGGGTCATTTCCAGAAGCGCGTTGATCGTTCGGGGGGATTCATGTAAACCGAATTTGTTTTAACGAGAAACAAATGTAGAAGTATAAGACACTCCGCTTTGGGGAAGACGCGTTTTTTGAAAGAGCGTACATTCGTTTACCGAGATAGTATACTTTTTTTTTTCTCCTTCGTGGGAATGTAATGCCAATGAATCCTTCTTTAACTTGACTCCTTCGGCGGAAAGTCGGGGGACAGGGAGAAAACTCCGTCCCGCTGCTTGTGGCCGCCTTGGACTGAGTGACTTCCGGCAGCGACCCAACTTGGTATTTTCCAAAGAACCGAGACCACCGGCTTGTGTCCACCAGCCAACTGCTTGGGCTTCCCTTTTGTTTCGCACGCATCTCTAAAGCCAACAATGTATTCAAGGGTTTCATTCAACGCTTCAACTATTGGCCACCTGCCTCGCGTCAGATCGGGATAGTACCCATCGTCCTTTCCCAATTACACTTCCCCCGCTCAGTCCACCAATATTAAAAATTGGAACTGTTTCTCCAACTCTGACTTTAAAAAAAATGTGCTTCTCACGACAATTAAGAGAAAGAAGGTCGGGCAGTGGTGGCTCACGCCTTTAATCCCAGCACTTGGGAGGCAGAAGCAGGCGGATTTCTGAGTTCGAGGTCAGCCTGGTCTACAGAGTGAGTTCCAGGACAGCCAGGGCTACACAGAGAAACCCTGTCTCGAAAAACAAACAAACAAAAAATTTTTTTCATGTGTTTGAGTGTTTTGCATGTAAGTCTGGGCTCCACATGCGTTCATGGTATCCTGGGAGGCCAGAAAAGTGTCACATACGCTGGAACTGGAGTTACAGACTGTTGTGAGGCGCCACAAGTGATGGTAATCAAAACCTAGATTCTCCGACAGAGCAGTCAGTGCTCTTAACCACTGGGCCACCTCTCCAGATCCCGTCCGCCCCGCCTACACACTTTATTTTTGAGATAGGGTCTCACTATGTAGCCTTGGCTAGCACGTAACTTGCGTTGTAGACCAGGCTGGCTTTAAACTCACAGAGATGCAGCGGCTTTTGCTTCTCGGATGCTGGGACAAACGGCAAGTGCGACAATGGCAGGCTGAGAGCAGTTGTAAAACTCTCCCGTCTTCCCTCCAGGAGGCACCAGAGGGCGGGATTTTTCAAGTCCGGTTCTGGGTCTCCTCCACGCCTATCCCGTATTTAATCCGCGCGTCTTGAATGGAATTGCAAACAGAGGTACGCGTTACCACGTTTCTTTTCTTTCGACGTTGCCTGGACGGGATGACCGTGTCTCCAGTCCCGTGAGATCCCAAACCTTTGGGAAGGCGAGCACTTCGGGGAAGCTCCTACAGGTGTGTCACCTTCCCTCTCTCCCACCTGTCGCATGGGCGGGCTCGCCGGGCGTGGACCGCGTCTGCGCCGGGCTGGGTTCTGCACGCCCGGGCGCCACTCCGCCAGGCTGGGTCACCTGCACGGAGGCGCCGAGCCCCGCCCACTAGGTGGGCAAGGGGGCGGGGCGCGGGGGCGCGGTGACGCGTGACGCCGGATCCCGGAAGTGACGCGCCGCCGGGGAGGGGGTAAAGCTAAGGAGGCGGGGGGAGGGGGGTGAGAGGGGGTGGCGTCCCCGGCCGGTTTGAGGGGTGCGTTGCCCGGAGACGGAAAGTTTAGGAGCCGGAGCAGGCTCTGCGAGGCTCCGGGTGGGGATCCGAGGGGTGGCGGTCCTGGGGATGGGGAAGGAGCAGGAGCTGCTGGAAGCGGCCCGCACCGGGCACCTCCCGGCCGTGGAGAAGCTGCTGTCCGGGAAGCGGCTCTCCTCCGGCTTCGGCGGCGGCGGCGGCGGCGGCTCCGGCAGCGGCGGCGGCTCCGGGGGCGGCGGCCTCGGTTCTTCCAGCCACCCGCTCTCCAGTCTGCTGAGGTGAGTGCGCGCGCCGGGGCTCGCAGCCTGGACCGCGCGGGCCAGCCCCCCGAGAGGTCGCGGCTCCCCAGGCGCGCGCGGCGCAGGCCGGGCTCTCGTGGCTGGCGTCGCCGCTGCGGAGAATGGGGGGAGTTGCCCAGGTGGCAGCCCGCGCCGCATGGCACAGCTCGGCGTCACCCCTCGCCCGCCGTGAGGAGGTGCCAGCTGTCGCTTCTCACAAAAGCCACTTCAGAGCAGACCGAATTCGCGGAATCCCTCTCGCATCCTGCAGGGACTCCCACGCCGTGCAGAGCCTCGCGGCTCCCCTGGAGCACATTCTCGTTTTTTCCTTCTCTTAGGAACTTAGAAGGGACCACTGAGCTGTGCGGAACCCGGCTTTTGTTTTGTTTTTAAAATTGCTTCTGCATTGATCGCGCGCGAGGTGTTTCAGTCTTTGAGCCCCTCTTGCGCCTGGAAGCTCAATTTGTCGTTTCCTTGTTGTCACTCTGGCTGGGTTCGTCCAAGTGGCATCTGCTCATTTCCCCCTGGGACTTACTTAAATCGGAAAGAAACCAAGGCTTGCTTAGGGAGCTGAGCTGCGTTCAACTTTCTGAGATCTTTTAGACACTTCTGAATCTCGGGGCTGCAAGTCTTCGGGAGGCAGGGAGGGTCACTCTTTGTAGCTTACAAGGGGGGATTGGAATGCCCTGTCAGAGTGCGTGAAATGTGTTGATTCAGCAGCGCTTTCGTAGCTGTTTTCTTTTCCTTCCTTGTTCTTTTGAGGTTTTTGAGAAGTGGAAGTTCATTTAGAAGTGGCTTCCTTAGCTTCTGTTCCCTGTAGGCTCATGCACCTTCAGTTTGGAGTGAGCTTGCAGAGTTTGGACCCAGGAAGCCCACGGTTTTTTTTTCATAAACTGAGTCTCAACCCACATTTTTTTCAGGAAGATTTTTAAAAGCACTATACAAGAATCCTCCCCCTTCCTTTGGGGAAGAAACCCCAATTCTGTTGTCTGCACCCAGTTTCTTGAACAGTGCTGGCTCTTAAGTGGTACTCAAGATTTGTTGAATAGACACACAGTACTGATTGTAGAATGAGCTCTGTGTGTGTGCGCGCGCATGTGTGCGCCCCCGGCACTCCATGTGTGATGGAGACTAGCAGTTGACATCTGGTGTCTTCCTCAATTGCTCTCCGTCTTCTTTCTCGCCAAACCTGGAGCTTTCTGATTGCACTAGACTGGCTGGCCAGCAAGTCCCAGGGATTCCCCTGCCTCTTCTTTCCCTGTACTGGCATTACAGCCATGTTGGCTTCTCTCTCTCTCTCTCTCTCTCTCTCTCTCTCTCTCTCTCTCTTTTTTTCCTCCTCTAAACATGGGTTCAAGATCACATTCAGAGGTTCCTGTTTGCTGAACAAGCACTTCACGGACCGAGCCATCTCCTCAGGGGACAATCAGTCTCTAAATGAACTGTGATCCTCACTAGTAGTGGTTGGTAGGACAGACACTGTTTTGGGAGAGTTAGAACCTCCGGAGTAGGTGCATCTAGGCTGACTTTGAAGTCAAGGTTTGGAGTAGATCACATATAGTTGGGAATGCTCTGGGGAAACACACCCTGACCAGAGGCAGGGTTTGTTTGCTGTTGGTGTGCTACTCGGGGACTTCCTGCTTGGGACCTTGAGTAGTCTGGCCCCTTGAAGGTAGGTAAGAATGGATTAGTATACTTATGGCTCTCACATTGGCAGCGTGTCTCACGCTTGTATTCTCAGTCCCTATGTTAGCACCTGGAGACACAGTCTCCTAGTTGGGCTTTCTATTGCTGTGACAAAACACCATGACTAAAAGCAAGTGGGGGAGGAAAGGGGTTATTTAATGGCTTGCAATTCCACATCATAGTCCGTCACTGAAGGCAGTCAGGATCGGAACTCAATCAGGGCAGGAACTTGGAGGCAGAGCTGATGCAGAGGCCGTGGAGGGGTGCTGCTTGCTCATGGCCTGCTCAGCCTGCTTTCTTATAGAACCCAGGACCACCAGCCCAGGGATGGCATTACCTAGGGTGGGCGGGTCTCTCCCCCATCAATCACTAATTAAGAAGATGCCCTACGGCTGGATCTTATGGGGGGGTCTTCTCAATTGAGGTTCCCTCCTTTCAAGTGAGTCTAGTTTGTGTCGGCACACAGGCCAGGTTCTTCTTGGCGTGCCCTCAGAGGAACATTGTTGCGATGTAGCTGCCACATAGTTAAGCAAGGCTGTGAGGCCTGGTGAGCACAGCCCTTTTACTGTGGGTTTCCTGCTGATGTTTCCCATTTCTTTCATTAAGCACAGTGGTGTGTCCCTTCCCTAGAGTCACAGAGCTGCTGGAATCCAAGTTGGCTGCTGTGTCTGATAGAAGCTGCAGATGTTCATGAGTCTTCCAGTCTCCCGCTGGGAAGGAGGACCTTTACTTAGGCCCTTGCTACACTGGGTGTGTCATTAATTAGGAGTGACTCTGGTTAACCTACTGAGAGGGTTGAGGCCATGCCTTTATTTATTTTTTAAGGTTTATTTATTATGTATACAGTGTTCTGCCTGCAGGCCAGAAGATGGCACCAGGTCTCATTTTAGGTGGTTGTGAGCTACCAGGTGGTTGCTGGGAATTGAACTCAGGACCTCTGGAAGAACAGCCAGTGCTCTTAACCTCTGAGCCATCTCTCCAATCTCAAGGCCACGAATCTAAATAATCCCGAGGTCAGCAAGTCCCCTTTGTAGGTTTGGAAGTGGTGGAGGTGGGTCCCTTGTGTACTCCTGCTCTTTCCTGCCTGGAACCCTGAGTTCTCATTGGAAGCCATGGATTCCTCATTTAGTGTTTTGACTGTGTTTCAACACATGTCTCCTAGCCTCATGAGTACTGAAAACTGTAGCCTGCCTTTCTCTTGAAGTTTAAGGAGCTTATAACTCCCCTGGGTATAAATATTGCAAACCACACCCATGTTTGTTTCCTCATGTGTTTATGACCCTCCTCCCTATCGTCCCACATAGGTTTTGTATGGATTCTTTTTGCGTGTGT